CACATTTTACACTGTAACCTAGGACACTCCCCAAATCAGGTAGACACATAGACTGCTTGTCCATCTGTGTGTGTGCAGAGCACAACAGAGGTCCTTCTAGCACTATGAAGGTCCTAATGCATTTCATAGGACTTTCTAAGTACACAAATGTGAAAACACAGAGCAAATACCAAATTGACTGATTTTCCTATTTTATCCATGTCTCATTTTCAAATAATGTGTTTTAAGATGCCTCTATTTATCAAATATATTCTTCAAGTATGCCATGAGTATTTATAACCATTGTTTTAACTTTCATTATCTTTAGTGATGTATAAATTGCAATAATGTTATTTTTTTTATAAGTGGAATTTGGAAACAGTACAATTTAAAAAATATATGGGATATAAAAATTTGTCACCTGACAATAAGCGCTAATTAATATTTTTCTCTTGCATTGTGTCTTTCAGATTTGTGATAAAGAATGGCATTACTATGTTGTCAATGTTGAGTTTCCCGTTGTTACGTTATACATGGATGGAACAACATACGAACCTTACCTTGTGACCAATGATTGGCCTATCCACCCTTCACACATAGCCATGCAGCTGACAGTTGGTGCTTGTTGGCAAGGTAATATGACAGCAAATAGTAGACAGTAGCATTATGAATTCAGACCAAAAAGAATCTTATTTGTCTTACTGACTGTGTAGTAAATAAATTGCTAAAAGATTGATGGTATAAAATCAGAAGTAAATCCAGAGTTAATAATGAATCAAATCCAGGGTAAAACAGATATGATGTTAACAGGCTTTGCATTCCCACTGTCTAAAGACAGTTTGTGAACTCAGCGTGAATGATTGTCGTCTTTATCTATTGTCTTCACTGCTTTTAACTGTTTCCCTTGATCTCCAACGTTAAGCAAACTATCTAATTATTACTCTAAAAAACTCAAGTTATCTCCTTTCAGTCTCTGCCTCAACTCATGGCTCAATTCTGCTCTCTTCACATTGGATGTATATCACCAATAATTCCACTAACTTAATCAATTCACCCTGTTACAGACCAGATGTAAAAGTGTGAGTAAAATAAATCCAGAAGTCACAGCCCCAGAGCCATACTTGTATGGGCCTTTGCTTAAATATCCTGTTTTCTACCCTTTATAATCCCGCTCTTATTCTTTTTTCTGGTCCTTACGCCACTGTTCCTTTTTCTGTTTTCTGCCTTATACTTGAGGCAGTCCTCTTTTTCTGCTCATCTGCTTTTGTAAAGTTGTCTCCATTACCCTTCCACGTTGATTTTCTATTTATGCACTGTGTCTTGTTTTCACTTAAGACAAAGTATGAAGTGAAGCAAACTATATAATTAGGAAAAAAAGGCTGTGACACAGATTGTGTTTCTTGCCCACTCTTTAATGTTGGCTCACTTTCTCCATTATTACCTTGTTTGCCAGTTTGATCTTTGCTCATTTACCATATGTTATCTGCAAAATTTGGATATCTTATGCGTGGCAAAGCTGTTCAGTGTAAATAGTATTAGAAGCAAATCCAGGTGTTAGATTATGAAAACCTTGGGGTAAAGATCCAATCTTTACTTTGATGACAACATGCAGAATAAAGCCACACTAATCCTAAAACCAAGATTTGATAAGTTTTGAATATTGATCACTGACACAGGTATTATGATACCAAGCTAATCAGCATGACACTAATCCCATACATTTTTAAAAGTATAGACTGATTCTTGTCTAACTGGTATTTGCATGTGTAGGCTTCCATCCCTGTAGGCTGATCTTAGGTGCATTGGAATTTTTCATTGATGCTAAATATATAACAGAGTACATTTCATTTTACTCTAAGGTGCTAATATTCTAGGGGAATGTTACTCCTTCTTTAGCTATCAAACTCTTCAGAAACCAGGACTTCGGTTTAGCCAGTAGTTGGGATGACTAGTTGACAGATACCAATTTGATTTACACAAATTTTCTTTTATTTTGATCTGTTGCTTTTTTTTTTTCTTATATAGTTTTATTGCAGTATTTTTAAATCAAAGTTCCAGAGTTAACAAGTGCAGATTCTGTTCATGAATGGAGTAAATTCAGTTCTTTCCAGCCTGAGCAAATTTCATAGACTATGAATAACTATTGAGTATTAACTTCTGAAAAATCAGCATTTCTCTGTAGCTGTGCTAATGAAATTTTGTTTTAATCTCTTACTTCATGTTTATTTCTAGATTCTTCTGCGCAGGTCTACATAAATATTTCTGTGCATTATTTGTAATACTTCTGCCCCTTAACTTCTTTCATTCATACAATCTGGTTTTATCACTATTACTTCCTAAAAGTCTCCATATTGGTGGGAATACAGTCCGCTCAGCCCTCACCTGAGTTTGATGTTAATCATCATGCAGGTGCCATGTTTTCAGAACTGTGAATTAGTAACTTTATCTGTGGATCATGCAAACAAAGCTATTCCAGTTTTGCCACAGTGCTGCGTCTGTGGGTTTCATCTACCTCCAAGGCAACTGAATACAGTAAGAATAATCTTGTTTCCTTTGCATCTTTGTCTTTATCTCAAATTGTTAAGAGAAAGAATTAAGGTAAAACACTCTCATATAGGCTCACAATAAAGTTATGCCACAGACTATATTTAGTATTTAAGTTGTTAAACAAACAGAAAGTTGCACTTGTTTTCAGACATTTTTAGCTTTGCCCTGAATGATTTGATGGCGTAACGAATAACCATTCAGGATAAGATTCTTCTTCCTTTTTGGTGAAACACCTGCCTTAAACTACTGAAATTTTACCTATTGCTGCTGTCAATATTTACTGCAAGGTTATGTTATTGCTATTTTAATAGTGTGAGAATTGGAGCTCATCAAAAGTAGAAACAAATTTTCCATCATCTCATGAAAATGTAAAGATTTAGCTAAAATAGTGTGCTAGAGATTCTGATAAACTATCATGTGTCAGGGAGAAAGGTGAACTTTCTGCCTGATACTGCTTTTGGCAAAACTTTTCTTTTGATAAGTTTGTTTTGATCACCTCAAACTATATAAAATGAATGGTATGGAAATTCACTATGTTAATAAGATTCAGCACTATTTCAGTCTGTAAAATTATAATTATTCAACATATAAACCCAATCTATTCCATTCAAAATATTAATCTTCAAAATCCATATATTTCAAGAAAAGGTGGATCTATCAAACAAATGATTTCACTATAAATAGTTTCAGTGAAACTGTTAATTGGGTCTACTTAGGATAATACATTTTGGCCAGTAAGCATAGTCTAAATCTTTACATGTTCAAAGCATTAGAAAACTGCTTTATAACCAACTATGATTTATTTCAGTAAAAATACGCAGTGATTTTGTTGTCGTAGCCATTCAGGGGAGTCCTTGTTAAGAGGATATGAGGAGTTTCTAGCTCTGGTTTGCTTAGGCTGTTTCCTTCCCTTTTCATCACAGCACTGGCAGATAAGGAACACAAGCTCTAACGTCTTCCTTTAGAAAGGACACAACGTTTTTTTCTGTCTTCGCTAAATCATTTTGTAGTTCTGAGCCCACAGTATCCATTTATCAAAGTCAAATTATTTGAAAAACAATCTCAGCTCAGACAACTAAATGAACCAGAAGAAATAACATTCCTGTTTTCTTACCACACTAATTCTGATTTGCTCAGAGCAAAAAGTAAGTAATCATGACTGTGGGGCTGCTCAAGAACTGGTGGGGAGCAGGAAGAATGTATTTAGATGGCAAAGCAAAAAGTCAAGACCAAAAAGAATTGTGATTTACTCTGATAGCACTAATAGGAAAATCTGCTGCTGCTGTGAAGGATTTTCCCTTTCATATATTACAATATTCAGTTCTGGTCTGGAAACTGGGAATTGTTCTGCTGTTTCTCTAAGAATCTGAGAATCCTCCAGGTTATGAGACAAGTGACTCTTTCAGCCCTAGTCTTTTCATTACTTACACTGGTACTTAACCGGAGGTGACGTAGGAATTATCATGCTTGCACATCCTTCTTGTCTTTCTCAGAGTTACGTCATGCAGGACTCAGGCACAGAAAGAGAGTTCTTTCCTTTGAGATTAATATTTCCTATTAATATTTCAATTCCAGAGTAATGCTTTTCTGACTTCTATAGCCTTGTTTATAGCATCCATTATGAAAAGTTAGGTTAGTTTTTATTTATACCTTCAGCTGTTCCACTGAAATGTAAGAGCAGTTTTAAGTTCAGAGCTGTTCTCCTGAATCTAACATGAAAACAAGACAAATGTGCAAACTCTCAGGCTTATGTGATAAATTTAAACTTCAGCCTATGATGTGCTCACTGTCCCATTTGCATCAAACCATTTGCCTTTTTTTTTTTTTAACTGACATCAGCATGTCAGTTGTAATGGCATCTTTACCCTTCCTTCAGCAGTGTAAAAAACATGTCTGATTTGTTTGTTCCTGATTTTATGCAATATTTCTTTAAATAATGTGAGTTGAGTGCTAGGACTCTCCTAAAAGGAGGAAAAATTAGCCTTTTCCTGAAGAGCAAAGTCTTGCCTTAGGGACAAGAGGGTATTGGAGGAAGAAGTTAGGGTCCCAGTGTCTGGATGGCAGCCTGGAGAGAAGCAGTGAGTGAAGATCGCTGAAAGAGCAGAGAGCCAGGCTTTAAAGGTGATAGAAGAGAACCTTCCTAGGGTCGTTCAGGCACTAGGTAAAGTTTACTGCAATTCAGAAAGTCACTCAGTTCCCTAAAACCAAGCCTGGGGGATAGTTTCCAGCTTTAATGACACATTGGGCATGAGGAAAATTGCATGAAAAAATCTTTTTTATGTTTTGTTCTGGCATAATCAATATTAATTTTCTCTACTTAAAATTAGGTATTCTGGATGTTAATCTAGTATAATCTTCCTTTTTAAGTTTAAAAACCTTGGTTCTTTCTTCAGGGAGCTCATTAAAGATCTATGCAGCTGTACCTCATTGATTTAAGGTCCTAGCACAATGGCTAGCATAGAGTTAATTGGGTTTTATTTTGTGTAGTTCATGTTTAATACTGCTGTACTTTGGGGGTGGGGGGATAGTTTCTCTGAGGGTGGGAGTTAAAGCATTAGGCCAAACTGTTTGTGTTCATTCAGTTACATGTGACCCAAGAGCAGTGACAGCTGGAGACAGAAACTTCTTAATCTGTTGTAGCCTATCTCCAACAGAGCACCAGTCTTCATGCATTGCAAATCCCAACTTACTTCTTAGCTGTGATTTCAGTGATACTAGGCCTGGAAAAAGGTAATACTGACTACACAGCTAATCAAACTGGATTCAGTGAACTAACTGAGGGTGGAAATGGACAGTTTGTACTGCTAGTTCAGCTGTTCCTGAAATTAGGCCTTTATGTACCGTGGTAAAGTTTGATGGCTTTCTCTGCAGATATGTAGGGTTAAGGATATAACTTAATTTTAACTTCTTTAAAAGGCCCTTTTTATTCACATCAGTAGTCTCTCAGATGATTGTGAAGGGTGTGATTTTGATGTAGGTGGGGTTATTTAGCTCCAAAGTGCTATTCTGTCTCTAATGGTGAATGACATTTTGAGGCAAATTATTCTTTCTCATTGGTATCTAAAGGAAAAAATTGACTTGCTTCC